CAAAAGTTAAGCCCACGTTTTTTTTATGCGCATAGAAAAATTTTCATTTCTAGTGATATTTGAAAGCCAAAAAGCGAAAAATCTCCGTGGATATACGATTCACCCAAACCAAAACAGATACCGCCTGGTCTAATAAGCCAATAAATTGCAAGAGTTTATGTTAAGATTTGCTGTGTTTGGACCTATTTCCGAAATTGCTTGGTTTGGCCGCTACATGGCCTCAAAGATCGTGAAATTTTTTTGAATTTTGTAAATAACTCGAATACGTATTATTAGATTTTGATTATTTTTGAGGTGAGGACTTTTGCTTTCTACACATTTTGGTGTTATACAGCGTGTTTTTTAAAACTTAGAACAAAATTGATTTATAGTGACAATATCCGTTCATAACTTTTCCTCTTTTGGGCAACAATGACGATTATTTTTCATTTGAAAGGTGATACCATTTGCAAGTTTTTGGGTCTCCTGTAGAATTTTGATTAAATGAGCGATTGGGGTACAAAAAATATTTTTTTAAATCTATCCGTTATCTTGCCACCCATATTACATTACTTAACAAAGTGCTAGTAGTTTCTGATTTTGTAGGTTGACTGTAATTTCAGTTTGATCTTTAAGTCATTGTACCTGCCAATTCTGTTCATCCAGAAACGGAATAATAAATATTCACAATTAACATGTTTTCTAGAAGAGACCCAAACTTCCAAATGATATCACCTATCATATAAAAAATAGTTGTTACTATTGCCGGAAAGAGGAAAAAGTTATGAACGGATATTGTCACCATACATCAATTTTGTAAAAGTGGTAAATTTTAAAAAACACTACATGTAACACCAAAATTTGTAGATTGAAAGGAAAAGTCGACACCCCAAAAGTAATAAAAAATGATTAATACATATTAGTTATTTACAAAATTAAAAAAAAATTCACGAATTTTGAGACCATCTAGCGGTCAAACGAAGCGGATATAGGCGAAGTAGTCTAAAGTAATCTAAATCTGTCTATTTTGAGTCTACGAATCTGTGGTCTTCCGTTGTGCACGTTATTCTGGGACACCCTGTATAATGAGAAAAACACTGGTTCTATTAAGTCTTAAATGTTCTTTATTTTACCAGCCTGGCCGTAGAAAACAAGATCCTTTCAATGATTATTTTCATTATTGATATAAATCACTTGTTTATATAAAACTATATTGCTAATTTCGAATCTTTCCGAGCTTCCTACAAAAAAATCATAACTACTTTTTCATCGAGTATTCATTTTCCTAATAAATGTAGCAAATTTGCCCAAAAGTAATGAAAATATGAATATTAAGCATCTTGTTTAAAACTGACAAAATCGTACAGGCATGATCTGCTAGAGTTAATTTCAGAGTCATTTCTCCATACTTACCATCTTATATGTTTTGAAAGAGAAGAGATATGTACCAACATTTTAATAGAAGCTGGTTGAGGAAAAATGGGATTTGATAAAAAACAATATTTATTAAGTAGGGAAAAATAATTCCAATGTCACCACAGCACTTGGTGGTAAACTAAATGTATAATGGAATTTTATGTCAAATGCTTCATACTACAAAGATCGTCCTTGCGAGTTCCTTCATACAGTTCCGTTTTCCTATAATGGAGACCAGACCATCAGATTTGGGTTATCTTGTACATGGTGTTTAATTATCAATATCAAGATTTTACCTAAAATACTTTCCCTGCTTATTTAAAGAACAAAGTATACAGGGTGAGTCAGAAAGAATGGGTCAACACAAAACTGGAGATACTAGACACCAAAATATTATGTTTGAGCTCATCATGCATTATACGAATGTCGCTGGTTTAAGAAATACAGGATGTTCAAAGTTTAAATTTTATTTTGAAATTTCTCAATAATTCACAAAGTTTTGATAGCATGACTCTGAAAATTGGTAGTGTTCGATTTTTTTGGTGCGAGAATTACGAATTTGAAGCTTATTTTGATGTTGCTCCTAGAGGGCGCTAGTTTCACTGTATTATTTAGGTAAATCGGAACATATTTTTTCTATCTGTTGAGCTATGCTTTTAAAAAGTTAAATATCTAAAAGAACGTTCAATTCTACATAAAAAATGTACTCTTGTTTAAGTCGCCTAACTTTATCGATTTCTGGGTTATTTGCATTTAAAAGTTTCAATGTATGTATTTTGTGGTGATTTTGTATTCTCAAAAGTTGAAAATAAGAACAAGAATTATTGATAGTAGTAATAATAACAAACCATAAATCAAATTCTGAAAGTTTCCACCAGCTACCTCAATACATTTTATTTTACACTCTTAAATGTCTCTGAATATTAAACAAAATGTCCCTATTATTTTTAAACGCATTCGCGGTTACTTGTATTTTCTGTCGTAACTCCTCAACAGAATTAATTTCTTCACGATACAATACATCCTTCAAGTTTGACCACACCACAGTCCAGAGGGTTTAAGTTTGGACTTCTTGGTGGCCAACTAAATTCATTCCCACGGCCAATCCACCGATGAGGAAAATGTTCATTTAAATACTGGCGTACTGGCAAGGCAAAATGTGATGGTGCACCATCGTGCATAAACCACATACTCTCTCTTAAAGCGAGTGGTACATCATCTAGAAGCTCGTTTAAATTATGTTGAAGAAAATTTAAATAATGAGGTCCAGTTAGATTGGGTGGCAATTCAAAAGGTCCTATGAAAAAAAAAACAGAAATTAAACCACACCAAATACTCATCTTGAACTTATGCTGAAAATGACTTTCTTTTACAGCATGTGGAATCTCACAAATGATTGCTCTTCCAATTGAAAACTCCTTGTCTAGTAAATGTCGCCTCATCAGTAAATAAAATCTTATTGAGGAAATCTGGGTTTTCCGTTTGCATATTTTGTATAAACTGAGCAAATTGTAAGCGAGCTGGTAAATCTTGCGACAATAACTGATGAACCGGAGTATAATGACATGGATGGAACATTTCTTTTTTCAAAAATTCTACAAATGGACGATTGGCTTACCCTCGTTGCCACACTTAACCGACGAGTACGAGTAGTAAAATTTTCTCTTCTTCATCGACTGTGATAGATTTTGGAGTATCATGGTTACTTTTTGGTCGAAAAAATCCAGATCCGCCTAAGCGATTGCAAAGATTTCTGAATAGTTTATAATTAGGTAATCTATTTGGGTACAATTGCACATATCTTCGGGCCGCCGCATGTTCATTAAAATTAGCCTAAGCAAAAACACAAATCATATTATGCATCTCACTGTTAGAAAAATTATTGCCATGGCATTTTTTGATCACTAGCTAATAATTTTGCACGAATAATAAATCAGACATACGCAAAATACGTTAATATTTATTGACAAGAAAATTTGACACAAGCCTACTTAGAAAAGAAATAGCAATATAAGCGTCT